CCCCAAAACCCCAAAACCCCAAAACCCCAAAACCCCTCTCCCTAAGAATAAGATTGAAATATCAAATCTAATTAAAATCTACTCTTAAACCAACCAGCTTTCTATCACACTCAGGTGCCAAAACTCATCTCTCCTTCACCATTCTTAATGACTAAAGATCCTTTTCCTACAAATCCCGTATCTTCTCTTAACCCTGTGAATCCTTGACTTCTTCGTCCACCCATCAACCTGCTCATCCTTAGTAAGGGTCTTCATGACTAGTTTAATTAAACTGAAAAGTTACTCCTGTGGATATCTGAGATGTATGAGAGATCAGCATCGGTCATTCCTATACTGGTTGGCTGGGAACAGTACCTGGAGTTGTTTTGGGATTGATTGGTGTCGTTAGGGAGCTGTAGTCAGTTCTGAAGAGAGGTTACTACATGCTCATTCCGGTTTAAATTTTCCCGATACCCAAACTAACTTTCTTACATTTTCATTTGCCCAAGAGAGGCATCTTTAAAAGATGCCCTAATCTTGTTGGCTCTTAAATAACTTTCAATTCTTGCCATGTAGTTGTTATTGTCTAAGCGTTAACTTTTTGGGAAGAACTTACTTTTTCTACTGTCCACGCTTGGTCTTAGGATATTTCTTCGGGAAGTCTGTGAGTTGTTAGCTTTAGTGTTACCCTGGCAAAGGAGTTGGTTTGGGTCGTGTGAGATACAATTGTGCTGTCAGAAGGTTTGCTGGTTACTTCTTGATTTTCATCCTGAATTTTCTGAGTATCAAAAGAGAGAAGTATCCCAGTCCTTCTTTTTTCTAATTTTTTAAAGAGAGAGGATCTTTTTGGCTTTTCAGAAGTTTTTTCACCTAAAATTTAAGGTGATAACATACCTGTATTCGAAGCATTTGAAGAGTCAACTTCTTCATCTCCAAAACGGATCTGTTGAGTAAATTTGGAAATCTTTACCGGTCTTCTAGTACTTCTGTGCTCTTGATCCTGGTTCTAGGGATTATATTCGATAATTTACTGAATAATTTTTGAGAACAGCGAAATTTTGAGTTCCTTTAAATCTAAGAGTTATTAAAAATATCAGCATACTTTGAGAATTTTTTATGGAATTTGTCCGCTTTAGACCTCTTATCGTAATACCTTGAGCCTGAATTTATGTACTTTCTGACTTCAGATTTTGCCTTTGAAGTATTCCGCTTAAAATTTGTCATCTCTAATTGAAAATAATAAGATCAGGACAATATAAACAGTATGCTTTAAATGTATGAGAAAGTACTCACAATGGAAGAAAGTGGGCTCTATTAAACGAACTCTAACTTACTGCGAATAGATTTTCTTGGGTTTACGATCTCCATTATTCTATGAGAAGCCAAGTTCATGCTAGACCTTTTCAGGTCATTTGTCCGATTCTTAATGTCTCTAAAAACGCAAGGTTATTTCTATTTCTCTTCACATAAAATAGGTATTAATGTTTGGACAGGGAATAAGAAATTTTAGTTTGCACAAGTTATGATTTACTGAGTAAACTAATCTCATAATATTATGAAAGATCTATCTCACCTTATATTAGCGAAAATAGGAATTTGCTGTGAGAATCTCAATATTTTAGCATTGCTGTCATTTAGGGTCTAGAGGTTCAATCTTTAAAATTACATTTTGAGGGTGTCTTCTGAATGTATTGATATCAAGAGAGGTGTTCATTTTGCTTGAAATATATTAATCTATTTAAAGTTCAACCCACTTTGGAATAAATGGGGTTTTGGGGTTTTGGGGTTTTGGGGTTTTGGGG